ATCAATTTATTACTATTTCATATGTGGAGCCACATTTTATTATTAGACCTGTATTTTTTTAGCTTTTTCAGATTTAATTATGTTATTTCTATTTTTCTTTTGGCCTAATTTTCATAGTATTATATTATTATATATTATTATAAGTGGGAAGCCATAAAAGTAAAAGTTGAAATACTATTTTATTTTTATCTTAAATCAAAATGTTACCTCCTCCGTTCAGAAGTATTTGTCATGTTGTGCTTATCAAAAATCAATTTGACTAATTTTCAAAGGTAAATTAAATCACATTAATTATTAATTCGATATTTTAAACAAAAAAAATGTGTATTCTAAAACTATATGAAAAGTACTATAAATTACAACATTTTTATATTAATATGGTGAAAAAATGCATCTTAAAATGTTAGTCAAAGTTTTTATAGTTTGATTCTAAAAATAGAAATCATGACAAACAATACCGGACAAAGGTAGTATAATATATCTAAGCAATTAAATATTAAATAATAATTACATAATATTATATTAAATACTTAAAATGAAAAGGTGTTTTATAACACATTTTAAGAATGTCTCTCCATTGTCCAACATAACTTTTGAGCTCTCTAAAAAATTCTACGTAAACTTTTGGCTTATAAATATTATGTGTATGAGGTAAAATTATTATTGGCAAATATATAAGCTAATTTGTCTTTCATATAAGAAGAAAAAAGAAACTGATTTCGTCAATTATACAAAATGCTTAAGCACGGAGATAGCAGATTAAGATAGAAGGTTGTATTGGAGTGTTCTCTCGCTTCCGAAGGGTTTAGACTTTGTGGTGTCTTTCGTAGTAATACTCTTATTCTAGTACTGTCTTTCTTATGCTTTCTTCCACCAAATGTTTTTATGATGTTTCGGTATTTCACTTTTTGTTGTTGTTATTGTTTTCATAATAGTGATTATAGTATTATATTATATCCTCTTCATTGACAATTTTTCTTTTTTATATTTACTCTAATTTTCTATATTGTATAGCGACCAAAATTAAAAGTTCTAAAGTCCAAAAAGTCTATTAGTGACAAAAAAATTAAAGGCTTAGTGTAGTCGTCGCTAAAAGTTGTGAATTTGGTCGCTAAAAGTCTCTTTTAGTGGCGACTTTTAACCGCTGCTAAAACTTCTTGTCGTCGCTAAGACTCTTTTAGCAGCGACTTAAATCGCCGCTAAAACTTATGAATGTCGACGCTAAAAGTCACTATTAGTGGCGACTGACTTAAATCGCCGCTAAAAGTTATGAATGTCGTCACTAAAAGTCACTATTAGCAGCGACTTTAATCGCCGCTAAAAGTTATGAATGTCGTCGCTAAAAGTGACTATTAAATCGCCGCTAAAACTTATGAATGTCGTCGCTAAAAGTATCTATTAGTAGCGACTTCAATCGCCGCTAAACATGAAGGTCGTCGCGAAAAGTCTCTTTTAGCAGCGACTTTAATCGCCGCTAAAACTTCTGAATGTCGTCGCTAAAAGTCACTATTAGTGGCGACTTAAATCGCCGCTAAAACTTATGAATGTCGTCCCTAAAAGTAACTATATTAGTAGCGACTTAAATCGCCGCTAAAACATGAATGTCGTCGCTAAAATTCTCTTTTAGCAGCGACTTTAATCGCCGCTAAAACTTATAAATGTCGTCGCTAAAAGTCTCTTTTGGCAGCGACTTTAATCGCCACTAAAACTTATGAATGTCGTCGCTAAAAGTCTCTTTTGGCAGTGACTTTAATCGCTGCTAAAACTTATAATGTCGTCGCTAAAAGTGTCTTTTGCAGCGACTTTAATCGCTGCTAAAACTTATGAACGTCATCGCTAAAAGTCTCTATTAGTGGCGAATTAATCGCCGCTAAAACTTATGAATATCGTCGCTAAAAGTCTTTATTAGTGGCAACTTTAACCGCCGCTAAAACTAATGAATGTCGTCGCTAAAAGTCACAATTAATGGCAACTTTAACCGCTACTAAAACTTATGAATTTGGTCGCAGTGACTTTTAGCGACAAATGTTAAAGGTTTTAGCAACAGTTACCGTCGCCAGTAATTGTGACTTTAGCGATAAAATTTGATGTTATAGTGCGGTTATAGTAGCCACTAAAAGAGACTATTAGTGACAAATATTAAAGGTTTTAGCGACGATTATAGTTGCCGCTCAAAGCCACTTTTAGTGACAAAAATAAAGAGTTTTAGTGGCAGTTGCGATCGCCACTAAATCATATAAATTAGCCACTGAAAGAAAGAATAAGTCGAAACTAATACCGCCACTAATTCCTATAAAGGCACCGCAAAAAGTACATTTTAGTGGCATTAGAAATTGCCACTAAATCATATAAATATTCACAGCGAAAAATATTATCCATTTAGGACAATTATAATCGTCGCTAAAATTATCGCTAGTTATTCAAAACGTGACAAGTATTTTGAGATAAATATAATATCAATTTTAATGATAACATATCAATATAATCGAAGCTCAATATGGACTTAATCATTTTTAAATCAAATGTTAAAACCTTATAACTATGAAAAAAAGTCATACATTTACTCCTGTTACGATATTATTCCTAGTTTCTTCAAAACATTTATACTTATTTATATTATAAATATTCTTTACATATGAAACTTCATTTTTGAATGGAAAAAATTAAATTAAAAACTATAATAAAAAGGAAAATCTTACATGATAAAATGTTATAAGGAATAAAATGCATGTATATATATATATATATCTAAGTTTTTCGATCCGTCAAAAATTGTGAATAATTTAATAAGATAGGTAAAGCAAATACTAGCATTTTGTTTGTCTAATCGAATTTGTGAACAAGAAGAAACTCTAATACGTCAATCCGATAAAACTTATAAACGAAAAATAGATAAAACGAAAATTATAATATTGATTTGTTAGCATATCTTGTGAATAACCAAATTTTGTAATCTGATAAGACTTGTAAATAAATTAAATTATTCACAAATCATGGAGATTTACTAAGGTTATAATCCAATAGATAATAAAACTTGTGAACAATTAACATGATATATGTCTGTTACAACAAGTCATTTTTGTTAATCTCACAAGATTAACAAACAATTTAACAAGATTTATAAAATAAAAATTATTCAAATTGGGTCATTTGTGTAACTTGCAATGTCGTTAAAAGCTTTAGCGACAATTAATTCTTAAATGCCGCTAAAGATCGTTTTTTATATAGTGTGAACAGTTCAACAGTATAATAGAATGAAAGATTGTATCGAAGTCGACATAACTTGTGAACAATGAAAGTTTTGTGAATTCAATAAGACTTTCGAACAGTTTCACAATACAAATAAAATGAAAAATCGTACTAAATTATTAGGCAAGTTTTATCAATTTTGGTAATATTAATGAGCAATATAGCTAGATAAGTAAAATGAATATTGTGCTAAAATTAATATAGTATGTCGACATAAATTGTGTTTTATGTAAATATGGCAAGACGTCGAAACAAAAAAATAGTATAGTAGAATGAAAGATCGAATCGAAATTTAACAAGATGGATAGAATGAAAAAATATGTTAAAAATACGAACCATGTGACATAACTTTTGAACGAGGAAAGTTTTGCAAATTATGTAAGATTTTTGAGAAATTTAACGAGATAGGTAGAATATGCAAAAATTTATCAATCCAATCGAAATATTTATCAAAAAAAATTAAAAGAAATAATATACTAAACAATAAATTTATGACTCATCCAACCAACTAGCAAGAATATTTTTGCACAAATTCCTTGAACAAAGACAAAATTTGGATTAACAAAATTAAATTATACTATTTATACAAATTTCCAATTCGAAAAATGTTTTTTTTTATTGACTTGGATAATATAAAAGGCCAAATAAGTAAAGTCATTGTAATTAAGTTTTAAAAGACTTAATACAAGGAACTAAAAAAGGAAGAAAATCAACTAATTAAAGGAAATTACATGTAATTAACTTTGAAACTTATATCAATAAGAAAAAAACTTCTACTGGGAAAAGTAAACATCCTAAAGATATAATATAGAACCATATAATAAAATTCCAAAATAAAAACATATGAACAATTAAAAATATATATAGATAAAAGATATTTTTTTTGGTTTTCACTCGATGTCCAATACCTGCATTAGAATCCGACTAAATCCGAATTCGCATCGAAATGTCCCACATTAGGAGGGTAAAGCGCTCCCTGACAAGCAATTAGTATCGTCAAGCCGTAAAACTTATAGACAATAATAAAAATAGGTAGAATAAGGATCCGTACTAAAATCGTACGACCGACATAACTTGCAATCAAGTGTACGTAAATGTGGTAAGATCTGTGAACAATTTAACATGATAGTAGAATGACGGATTGTACAAGTGTAATGAACTCGACGTAACTTGTGAATTTATGCAAATTTTGTCAATTCTATAAAATATAAACAATTTAACAAGATAGATAGAATGAAGATGATAAAAAAACCGTTAAAATCATATATTTTTTTTATCTTGACTAGGTTTTGAATGAATCAATACAAGGAACTAAAAAAAAATCAAAAGAAATCAACTCTCTACATATAATTAAAGGAAATTAAATATAACTGACTTTGAAACTTATATAAATTTCTACTATTCCTAAGGAAAATAAAATAACACATTATACTAAAAATCATCAATAAAATGAAATATTATACACTAAACAATAAATTAAAGACTCATCCAAAACAGACTTGTTAAAACCGTAGTTTTTTCTTTCTTTCTCAACTAGCAACAATTCCTTGAACAAAGACAATTTGAATAACAACCTTAAATTATCCAAATTCTAAACATGTTTTTTTTATAAAAAAAATATACAAAGCCAAATAAGTAAAGTCATTGTAATAAAATAAGTTTTAACAGACTTAACATGTATATAAGGAACTTAAAAAAGAAAGAAAATCAAAACAAAATCAACTACTATGATTAAAGGATAGTACATATAACATATATCAATGAGAAATAAAGTCCTTCTAGCTAAGGAAAAGTAAAACATCCTAATTAAAAGATCCAATAAAACCATATAACAAAATTCCCAAATATAAAACCTAATTTGATCATACTTTTGGATTATTATCTATTACAATGATGTATCATCATCCAAATGAGGCAATTCATTAAGATCAAAATCAAGAACTTTACTTGCATTTTGACTTGATGATTCTTCTTGATTGTTTGTCAAATGGCTCCTTTGATGACCTCCAAGTGCTTGTCCAGTAGGAAAAATCTTGTCACAAAATTTGCACTTATGAACATTATTATTGTTATTATTAGATCCATATTGATCATTAATAATAATGTTGCCATAATTAGTGATTTCTTGATTTCCCAATTGACCATCACCTTGAGTATTATTATTGTTCTCTTCATCATTTCTACCCTTAATTTCATCGATCGTGTTCTCAATACTAATCTTGAGCTTGTTATGACTCGATCTGTGTCCACCTAGTGCTTGATGAGTCGCAAACATCTTTCCACACACATTACATTTGTATTTGACCTCCACTGATTTCTTGAGAACGGGGCTAGGGACCAAATCCTGGCCCGGATCAAATTTGACTAGCTCCTTCTCCTTCTCCCTCTTTCTCTTCTTGGTTTCTTCGCGATTCTTTTCTTTAGTATCATCAATAACAACCCCCTTTTTCTTAGATTTATCCTTCAAATCGCGAAAAGCAGCTTCTTTAGGAGCATTTCCAACTGAATTGCTACTACTCATCATGACCTCTGACCTATTCTTGTTGTTGTTGTTGTTATTGTTCACGTTTCCATTGACTAAATTTATAAGCTGTTGAACCGCGTCATGTAGCTCCTTATCATCATCCATTATAGTACTACTTACACTCCTCTTTAGAGGGGATCTACCTCGTCTATCCTTCGCACCCCAATCCTTCAAAGGAGGTAGTTCAACCACGTTAAAACGAACTCCTCTTCCTCCTCCTCCATCTTCTTCTTCTTCATCTCGAAGACTAGCAAAACGATCCTCAAAACCCTCATTCACATCCTCAAACCTAGCTTCACCAAAACCCTTACTTTTCGATATTTTTTTACCAGGGGGTTTCATACCTCTCCATTCTCTATCAGGATGACATCTCATGTGTCCAAATAAAGATTTCTTAGATGGAAAATTCTTATGACAAATCTCACAACTTACAACCACACCTCCCATCTCTTCTTCTTCTTCGAGAACAACTTCTTCTTCGTCGTCGTCGTCATCGTCATCATCAAATCTTGATCTTTTTATCAAAGATTTTTTCTTCTTCAAAGATTCTTCTAATCTTTGATTTGCTTGAACATGTGCACTACTCATATGTCCACCTAAAGCTTTTCCTGAGCTAAACTCTTTTCCACACTCACAACATATATGATCTTTCTTTTGCTTCATCAACAACATGTTCTTTTCTTCATCTCCACGACTTTCATCTTTATCTTTCTTGAGCTTAAGATTTATCTTCACCTTAAGATTACTTGAAGATAAACCTTTTTCACAAGATCCATTGTTTTCTTGATCATCTTCAGCTTCCATTTGTGTGTGGAGTTGAGAAATCAAGAAAACAAGAGCTAAAATCAAGAAAAGGAGAGAAAAGCAATGAAACCCTAAAAGAAAAAGGGAAGACAAATAGGTTAGTAAGAGAGTAGGGGAGTATAAGAGACATAAAAGATATGGTAAGTGAGTAGGATTATAGAATTATAAAAATAATAATTAAAAAAATTAAATTAAATATTTGAGTAATATGGAAAGAAAAAGTAAATTTCATTTATAGAAAAAATTCACATCCCAAAATTCAAGCTCGGAAAATTAGCTACATTGTAAGACGTATAAATGAAAAAGAAAGAATATAGAGTATATCCTTTTTAACACAAAACCTTTTTATTTGATTTCCTACTACGTGTTCGGTATCAATAATAGGACGCTCGACTAATTCAGATTTACACTATATAGGTTTTGTTATAGAGATTAAACACGATTGACCATTCATTATCGAGATTCGTTTTCATATTTAAGACTCGAACTCGAGAGTAAGTCGCGAAATAAAAATCTCGAGATTTTATATATATATCTATACATATTTAAGTCTCGAACTCGAGAGTAAGTCGCGAAATAAAAATCTCGAGATTTTATATATATATATACATATTTAAGACTCGAACTCGAGATTAAGTCGCGAAATAAAAATCTCGAGATTTTATATATTATATATATATATATATATATATACACACGTGTGTGTTTAAAAAATATTTCTTAATTTTTATACTTCATATAATTTTCTATATAAATAAATATAATTTTTCGATAAAATATGTACTAGGTAACACAATATATTCTTGTTTGATAACTTATGCATAATTTTAAAAGAAAATTATACTATTAGGTCGGATAAATGACAAACTACAAATTAATCACCATGAATAAAATAAAAAAAAATTAAAAAACTACTGATTTAAAATTCTTATATTATAGTAGTGTATATAAGTTAGATATTTAAAGTATAATTCCTAAGAGTCCAAATTATGTAGGATTTGTGCCAACAAGAATATATATTCTTTCTGTATAATTATCCCACAAAAGGACAAACATCGAAAATTTCTGAAAAATAATATTTTCTGTTTATTTTTTCCTCATTTAAAATCATTTTTCCCTCCAATATATATATATATATATATATATATATATATATATATATATACACACACTATTATATAACAATTGAAAACATTGAAGAAATACAGTTTAAATGTAAAAAATATACAGAGATAAATGCTAGAAATTGGACAAAGAAATACAAAAAATATATAAAATAAAGTATCATAATATATCATATTTTTAAAAGGTGAAAGCAAAATATGAGGTAAAATAAAAAAATTTAAGTTATGCTATTTTTAATTTATCAAAAAATGATATATTTGAAGAAAAAAAATATTAAAATCATATAATTAGAAGTTAAATAAAGGAGAAACTACCTAATTGCATAAACGTTAATTTTCTTGTAGTTTAAAATAATTATATTTTGTCTCACCATTTAATAATCTCATATCAGATTTTAAGTCATACACATATAAATCACACTAAAATACACATTGTATACATATATCCGACATGCTTCACATAAATCTGGGACATTAGATATGCAAGCAAGATATGATGGTGAGGGAGGCGAGTCAGCAAGCGAAATTCGTATATGTATTGCGTGTATCTGGTTTGATTTGCATGTATTCGAAATACCATATACGTAAGGGAGATATGAGAGTGAGATTGGAGGGAGGCGAGGTAAATTTTTTATATATATCCTATATACAGGCGAATCCACTTTGATAAAATATATCTAGAATAAATTATATATTTTTTAACTCAATATTTAATAAGTTACATATATTTGGACGCATTAAAAATTTGATAAAATTCATAATATTATAAACTAGTATGTATCTAAGTAATTAACTCTTAAACAATTAAAAATTATACAAGTTATTTTTAAATAGATATTGCAATAAATTTTAGGAGTTCTAAAAAATACTACAAATATATATAAATTAAAGTATCAGAAAGTTAAAAGTATCATCTATATTCCTCTAATAAGTATAAATAAATAAATGGATATATGTCTCCATTTTTAATTATACGCATTAATTTCAATTATAGTAAAACCTTAATTATATTCGATTGAAATTGATGTGTATAATTAAAGAACGTGATGTGGTTCAAGATGCAATAACAATAAATTGAGACGGAATTAAACAAGCAAGATAAGATATTGAAGACATGGTTAAGGGGTTGTTTGATCGTGAAAGAGTTACCTATGATTAATTATCCTGGAATTAACTATCTTAAGTATTTCAAACTTGACAACCAAACAAAACGTTATTTTTATCTTTTTATTTCTCCTACCAAACGACCCCGAAAGGTCCATCGAAGAGGTAAGGAAATTCTCCATAAATTCACACAAAGAGTCTTTCTCTATCTTTAGAGTTAGTTAACTCTAATACGAAGACTTAAAAGACTACTTATATTAGTCTAGAAAAAATAGCTAAATATCTTAAATTTGTTAAAAAAATTCATTTAGATATTTGAACTGTAGGTTTTTTTTCTAATTGAGTATTTGAATATGTGATGAAGTGTTTCTATTAGACGCTTACGGTTCAAATTTTGATTTTTTTTTTATTAATCACTCAATATGTCATCTCCTTTAATTATAAACATCGATCATAATTGTAATGTACCTTAGATTTTACAGGTCGTTAAGGTTAATACATATGAGTAGAAAAGATGACATATTAATTTATACATATCGAGGTACTTGAGAATACACTAAAAAATTAAAATAAATAATGTGAATACTTTATCGTACGTCCAGGTGATCAATTAGAACACATATTATTATTCAAATATCTAAATAAAATTTACCAATTAGTTATTAATGTATTAGGTCAATTCAATTGATAGGAAAACGTTTATAATCCAAAGACAGTTGTGTTTCTAAGATCACTTGCCAATAATCAAATCTTACTATAGGAGAAAAAAAATATGTTTTAGCTTAAAGTTAAGAGGATATATTACATCTAATTTATTATTATTATTGTGAGTTTTATATTTTTATTATCCATTTAAATATGTTATATTTTTTAAAAGATTCATATTGATTATTACTTTTTTTTTATTAAAACACAATTTGATGTTGAGTTAATTTATACATATTAATTGAGATTTGAAAATAAAGAATTTGACCAACTCAACATCGAGATTTGTTTATAGAAAGAATAATGGATAGTAGGTAAAAGTCTTATCACTCTTTATTAATGTAAATATTTATTATCATTAAAAATTATTTTTGTTATAGCATAGCGAGACCATTTTTTAGGACAACACCTTCGACTTAATTATTTTCATTCTCGAAAAATTCAAACCTAAAACCTCTAATTAAGATGGAAGAGACCGAATCATCCTACCAAAACTCCGAATCGACGTGGTTATTTAATGTATCATCACAACACAATCTTTTCATAATAAGCTTAAAAGGGAAATATAATATATTATTTCTGTTGGGTAATACAATTTATTATAAAAAAAAATGTGTTAATATTCATTTTTTGCTTTCGCTTTAAAAAAATAAACTAAACTTAACTATTAAATTCTTTGCTAACTTACGACTAAATAATAGACTCAAATTTTTGTTAGATTTTTTTATTGATATAGAGGTTTTAAAGGTTTTTTTTATAGGTGTAAGGGTTTTTAAGGATTTTTAAGATTCAGGGTTTCTTAAGATTTAGAGTGGTGCAAGTAAAAAATAAATTGAGGTGTTTTTATATTTTTCTTGATTTTTATATTTTTCGATCATTTACGGAAAAAATAAAATTGATTTTTTCAAAAAAATCATTATTTCGATATTTTAAAGTTCATGAAAATATAAGCCCAATTTTGCACAAAATTAAATGGATCAAAATAAACCTAATTGATAAAATAATAAAATTATTTACACTCCCAAAATAGAGAAATAGGAAGGATCATGAAATTATGAATGTATTTATTTTACTAACATAATATTTTTCAGTTTTTTGTGCTAGTACAACATTATATTTTCGCTCAACTTTAATTTATAATTACGTAACTTTTTTTTATATATAATATTATTTCACTGTGCCATAAATCATTATAAATACTCCGTCTATTAGATTTAATAATGTCTCACAAAAAAAATTAAAATCGACTATATAAATTTCCATCAATTATATTTTCATATAAAAGCACACTCAAACAATGATACAACTATGAATCATCTAATATATCAAGGATTAATCTTTTAGTTCTGAATAAGTATTTATAAAGTTATAAAATAATAGATGATTTCTAAATTTATGTTCTCAAAAACAAATCAATAATTATATGAATTATGATTATAAATTATCCGATTAAGAATAAAATGAGAATTTTAAAATTAAATTATTTTTATTTATAGAAAAGTGATATATTTCTTTTAGACAAACTAATATTTACTTTTATTTTTACATAAAATTGAAACATCATTTTTGCCAGAAAGATTAACGGAATCAAATATTACAAATTACTTAATTTGCAGCCTCACTATTTTGTCCAATAAATAGTAATTATGTCTCAATTTCAAATAAATTAGAATCGATCCTATGAATATTTATTTGTTACGTATGAAGTCACCAAGAAAAGATAGTTATTGAGCAATATTTTCTTGGAAGATATTTCTTACATATTTTTGTGTGTTCGTTACATAAGTAAAAATATTATTTTAAAAGTATTTGTATATGACCCTAAAGTTTAGATAATATTATATAAGGTAGAGAGTGAGGGGTGGGATGCGGTTACAAGGGTAGGGATAAAGATTTGATGTGATCGAGGGTGTGAAGAACACAATAAATGTGAAATATTACTTGTGCGGAATAACTTATTTTCAATAATTCCATTAGGGAAGTCATGAAATTTATTTTCCTAAAGAAAATTTTTTCTAAACTATTTTAACCAATTGAACACGGGAGAAAATTAAAAAATATTTGATTCATACTGAACACACCCTAGATATTTTATAATGTAATCCTCCATAATGATACGAACAATCTCTTCAAACTGATCATGAATCTTTTATTGCATAGTATAAACTTCTAGTAGATTTTTAAATTTTTCTTTAAAAAAACAAAAATTTAAAATTAACAGCGTTTGACTATAGATTTTGAAACTTTATTTTCCAAAATTTATTTTTCACCCGATATCTATCGGGCCCAACTACAATTTCACGTCGAAGAGTCCATAAGTCCAAATCTCACGTTGAAGAGTAAAACGTTGATTTCCTATCAAAGACAAGGTTTGTCTTGCTCTCTCTTTCAAAAGTTTTTTGCGAAATCATAATTTTCATTAAGGATATTCA